ATGCATGTTGCCTACATGTAGAAATATACCTTTTTTCCTTTGCCATATTATTTCTATGTTCAGCTTACTGTCTTTCAATTGTCAAGAGATTTCAATATCCATAAAGTGATTATGTTTTCTGAACAATACAAATTCTAGGAATTAGTGTATCTTAGCAAAATATTTGTTGACATCTTATAAATAAATATTTTTCTTTATTTGCAAGAACATTTGGAATCTTAGGGACTAACCTTATTTTTCAACTGTGTTTTGAAAAAAAAGTTTAAAAATGAGTACGTCATAAATGATCTAGGTTTAGATAGAATAGATTATAGAAAGAAATGTTGTAACTATAAAATAAGAAATTAATTTATAATTGCATATATAACTGCCGCAAAGAGGATCCAAAGCTACTTCTTTGTATCTTTTTTCTTTCTTTTCTATTTTCTTTTGTTTTCTTTTCTTCTTGTACTTTTAGCTTTCACTGACTTCTTTCTTCTTTTCTTTTTCTCACTTTATATTAGTTTGCATTAGTTTTTATCATCTTTTAAAAAATATTAAAACTACATAAATAAATATTCTAGGCCAGTGGTGGTGAACCTATGGCATGTGTGCCAGAGGCAACACTCAGAGCCCTCTCTGTGGGCATGCACACCGTCACCTGTAGACCCTTCCTCACCAACAGCCCCCCCCCAGAGGAGAGTCGCCCTCGAGTGCAGCCCGTACAAAGCAGCACACCCAAGGACATGGCAGCCAGGCACTGGGGACAAGACTCCGCCCTCATGCCCCATCTTACGCACTGCGGGGCACGGGCAGAGGGTGTGGCCACCATGGCCCGAGCCTGCAAAGATGAAGTGAAGAAAGCCAAGGCTCAAAATGAACTAAGGCTTGCGACCAAAGTCAAAAATAACAAACAAAGCTTCTTTCAACATGTAAAAAACAAGAAAAAAGTGAAGGAAATGATTGGTCCATTAGTGGGTGGAAGTGGCAAGAAGGTGACAAGCAACAGGGAGAAAGCAGAACTATTTAACTCATTTTTTGCATCTGTCTTTACACAAAGGGAAAAAACAGACCAACCTATCAAAAATAGTGCCATAAAAAACAAATAGAAACACAAGTTAAGATAGGCAAGAAAATGGTTAGGGAGCACCTGTCCAGCCTAGATGAGTTCAAATCGCCAGGACCAGATGGATTATACCCCAGAGTTCTCAAGGAACTGGCAGATGTGATATCGGAGCCATTGAACTATATTTTTCAAAGATCCTGGAACACAGGGGAACTACCCAGAGGACTGGAAAAGAGCTGATGTAGTTCCCATCTCAAAAAAGGAAAAAAAATGGATCCAGGAAATTACAGACCTATCAGCCTGACCTCAATACCTGGGAAGATCCTGGAAAAGATAATCAAACAACGAATCAACGAACACCTAGAGGCAAACAAAGTCATTACTAAAAGCCAACATGGGTTTGTCAAAAATAGATCATGCCAGACAAATCTTATTGCATTCTTTGACCAAGTGACAAAATTAGTGGATCAGAGGAATGCTGTGGACATAATTTACTTGGACTTCAGTAAGGCATTTGATAAAGTAGATCACAACCTACTACTTGACAAGATAGAAAAATGTGGGGTAGACAGAACCACCACCAGATGGATCCGTAGCTGGCTGACCGGCCGTACTCAGCGAGTGGTCCTCAATGGAACTGCATCTATATGGAGGGAAGTGTGTAGTGGGGTGCCCCAGGGCTCTGTTCTGGGCCCAGTACTCTTCAACATCTTCATCAACGATTTGGATGAAGGGATAGATGGGGAACTCATCAAATTTGCAGACGACACCAAGCTGGCAGGAATAGCCAACACTCCAGAAGACAGGCTTCAGATACAGAAGGATCTGGACAGACTTGAACACTGGGCACTAACTAACAAAATGAAATTCAATGGTGAAAAAAGCAAGGTTCTACATTTAGGCAAGAAAAACCAAATGCACAAGTACAGCATAGGTGGCACCATGCTCAATAGTAGTAACTGTGAGAGGGACCTCGGAGTCCTAGTAGACAATCACCTAAATATGAGCCAGCAGTGTGCTGCAGCTGCCAAAAAGGCCAACACAGTGCTAGGCTGCATTAACAGAGGGATAGAATCAAGATCACGTGAAGTATTAATACCACTCTTCAATGCCTTGGTAAGGCCACACTTGGAATACTGCATCCAGTTTTGGTCACCACGATGTAAAAAAGATGTTGAGACTCTAGAAAGAGTACAGAGAAGAGCAACAAAGATGATTAGGGGACTGGAGGCTAAAACATATAAGGAACGGTTGCTAGAATTGGGTATGTCTAGTTTAACGAAGAGAAGGACAAGGGGGGACATGATAGCAGTATTCCAATATCTCAGGGGCTGCCATAAAGAAGAGGGAATTAAGCTATTTTCCAAAGCACCTGAAGGCAGGACAAGAAGCAACGGGTGGAAACTAATCAAGGAGAGAAGCAACCTAGAACTAAGGAGAAACTTCCTGACAGTGAGAACAATTAATCAGTGGAACAGCTTGCCTCCAGAAGCAGTAAATGCTCCAACACTGGAAGTTTTTAAGAAGAGACTGGACAGCCATTTGTCCGAAATGGTGTAGGGTTTCCTGCCCGAGCAGGGGGTTGGACTAGATGACCTCCAAAGTCCCTTCCAACTTTACTACTATTATTATTATTATTATCTGCTGTGGCAGGCCATGGAGATAGTGGGTGGCCCTGTGGGTGAGGTGAGGGCGGAGTGGGGAGCAGGGAGGAACAGTTTTTGGGCACTTGATCTCTAAAAGGTTTGCCATCACTGTTCTAGGCTTTGTTGCAAGTGTTTATTCCTCTTTTCCCTCATGAGGATCTTGTAAAAAAAGACACTAAACTAGATCTTTTTTTAAAGAGCACAGTCACACATAAAATAATAAAAAGCAACATTAAAAGAGTAACAGCAATAAATAATATATATTGTACCAAATTATACATACGTTTCTCCCTTAAACATTAAGTAAGCAATGCTGTACATTAATTTATAGATTGAATAAAGTCCTATAGAAAGTTAGTCTTTGGGTGTTGGATGTAGAATTTCAGCTTTAAAGCAATTACTATACCTAATAGAACTTGTTAGATCTTTTCTGGGATTATCCCATCCCTTCCTCCTCTTCCTATCACAAAATACAAAGACCTGCAAATAGAAATAGAACAACTGTGGCAAAAGAAAGCAAAGATAGTACCAATAATGATAGGTGCATTGGGTGCACTCCCAAAACATCTGGAACACCATCAGCACTGACAAAAACATCATCAGTCAATTGCAAAAGAACCTTTCCTTGCAACCGCTTACATTCTGTAATAATACCTTTAACACCATCAAATAACAACATCTGCCTATCCTGGTCTCCTTGGGAAAGACTCAGTAAAAATGCCAAATCCAATTCAAACATCTGGCTGATTGTGCAACCAACCACAACAATAAATTAAAAGTCATATAGCTGTATAAACTTAAATATTGTATATATAAATTGTTTGCAGTAGGGGCAGAGGAAACAAGTATTTTACAATAGAGATAAAATATGAATGCCAGTGGTACTAAGTAAGGCCAGAATCAGTCATAGCCAGCCCAAATCATAAAATATTATCTCAGTTAAAGAAGTTAAATAAGCTTATAATATGCCACACTGCTTAGGATAAAGAGGCTTGGAAAAACAGCAGCATTGGAAGGAAAACATGGGCAACTTTATTTCTTGAACTGTATGTATTAATTAGTTAATTTTAAAAACAAATAACAGAAACATTTCATATTCTTAAAACAATTAGTTAATTACAATTAGATAAAGCAAATTCCAGGGAATTATTTACTCTAGCAAAATATTTGTTAATATCTTATAAACCAAAGTGTTTCTTCTTACCTACTGATGAGATTCAATGGAAGTAGATGGAAGATTTAAAATTCCCCATCTAAGCCAAGGAGGTCAAGCCATAATTCTTTTCTCACTGGATTTCTAAATTTATTAACCATGATTAAATAGTATTTCATTCCTGATTTTAAAAGGTCCATTAGGTGGCAATTGTCATTACGGTATATTTCTACATTAACTTTGGAACAATAATTTTCTTTGATCTCTAATCCAAAATCTGGGAGTCTGAATTTTCTTTTCTTATCTCTCTCAGTTTAGTAGAATTTCTAACATAAATGCACTTGTTATATTCTATTGTACAAGATCTTGAACTCTGATATTTTGAGCCTTAATGATGTCAAAGAAGTTGGCATAAAGTGGGAAAGAGAAATATTTTTTCCTACTTTTAAGCTAGAGCTTCTAAAAAGATTCAAATTTGCATGGAGTTTATTAACAAGAAATTAACCTGGGAATAGTAAAACTGGCAACTTCATGAAAGTAACAAATGTCTAAATATGGCTCAAAAACATTGTATTCATGAAATAAATATCAGTCCCTAAATGATATTTTGACAAAATTCCAACCATTTCAAACTGCTGGCAACAATATAGTGAAGTCTGAGCCAGGAAAAAGGCCAGAAATAATTTGTTTTGGAATTTTAAATCTCCAGCTGCATTGATCCCGGAATAGATATGCAGAAACCCAAAATAAAGCAGAGGCAGAGGGGATTGTGCAGCTGGGCTGTGATATTCCCTCTATTAAGTGGTGAGTGACAGTAAATGCTAGTAGTGCTAGACTTCAGAAACAATGGAATTGCTTTTGACCAGTGTTTTCCAACCTTGGCAACTTTCAGATGTGTATACTTCAACTCCCAGAATTTCCCAGAATGCTGGCTGAGGAATTCTGAGAATCAAAGTCCACATATCTGAAAATTGTTTGAAAAACAATTAGACCCTCTCATCTTTTCTATAGCAGAGCCCAATTAGACTTGACTCGAAATTGAGAATTAATAATAAAAAATATCTGTGGAAATGGTGTTCCTGTGTGGGATATGTTGTGACATTTTGTATTGTATTGCTTCTAATCTTGTTTTTTTTTCCCTTTGTTGTAACTGCAGGTATCATGCTGAGAAAATATTCTCACCTGAAATACATTGTTATTGGATTATTCTTGCTGGTGGCTCTTATTACTTTAATCACTGTGGCTATCACACAAAATTTATCTTCCACCAGGAACTGTAAAGTAAGTTACAGAAAACTTACCTGCTGAACTGCTGTGCTTCTAATCCTATTAGACACAAATGCAGAGCCCACATGAAGACTAAAATCAGATGTGTGTTAATGCATTCACTATCTTTTTGTTAGAGGCTCCAGGCAACAGTAATATCTTCCTTTCTCTTCCAATAGAATCCCGGAAGGATTGCCCACAATATAAAGAATGCTCTCAATATATCTTATCCCCTGTACACAAGTAACAGTCTTAGGCTTTAAGCTCCCTTAACAGTACCACCTTACATTTCCTTTTATTCTAACATTTTCCATAGCAGCCTTATGGTATATAAAATCTGCTAGTAAGTATAATTTAATGGTGGAACTAGTTACCAAGTTGGGTGGTGAACTCTTCTACACCGAAGGTCTTCTCACCAAGGCTATATGGTCATTTGACAGGAAAATTTGTCCAGAGTACAGGGTTGGATTCAATAATATAAATGTCCCCCTGAAAATGTGATTCTGTTTGTAAGAGAACTCCACTACATGACACTGTTCGCAAAGATACATTTTATCATCTTCTCTCAGTACAGTACCCTGAAATTTAAAAAGCAAATTTATGAATTTGTCTCTCCTGCAGTATGGGATTGTGTTGGATGCCGGTTCTTCACACACAAGTGTGTATGTATATGAATGGCCAGCTGAGAAAGAGAATAATACAGGAATAGTGCATCAGATTCACGTATGTGAAGTAGAAGGTAAGAAATTGGAAAATTGACTTGACTGCAGCCATTTTTTGCTCATTCTGGGTTGCCACAAGAACGGGAGGGGGTGCGGAGGATTTCTACTAGTCTAAACATTTTACTGACCCATGGGAACCAAGGTCATTTCTATCAGTTAGGTGGGGGTGTGAGCATTTGGTTAGAAAGACTGCCAAACTCTTCTATTGGGGAACATAGCTAATTGCATAGCACTGGGGTGGGGAGTTCAACTTTGTAATATTGTTTCTCTTTGAAGAGAACTTTAAACTTGGTTTCTCTTTTGACTGTGCAGATACTATGTAACCAATAAACATGTTCTTTGAGGAAATCTCAAGCCTCAGAGTTCTGATTTATTTGGTTTTGTCTACTAGAACCTTGATGGACTTTTTGTAATAAATTAACCATCTCCATGGAGTGTGATGGACTGTGTGAATGAGGAAAACAGAGGTTGCCTAGGAACAATCAGACAAGAGAAGCAGGAGCTCCCAAGGGCTTAACAGAGAAAGAAATTTAGGAAGGACTCACCCTAATTTTTTTAGTTCTTCAATACAATTTTAAAGTTAAAATAAGTAAAATGCCGAATTTAAGCAATTTAATGGGAGTAGTGTATGTGTGAGATAGGAAAAGAGAAGGAAAAGTACTTGCTCATTGTAAGCCTGAACAAACTTTCACTAATGAAAAACACCACATAAAAATTATAATTTGTGTCCCTTGCAGTGAATCCTAAACTGTCAAAGGATGTAATTTATACTCTTACACAGACTTATGGGTCCATCAAATTTTTGCTCTGATCATAGACCAACTTAAGGGTGGGATACAACAATAATTTTAAAAAACCTAAAAACTAAAACAAAAATTACATAAAATAAAAAACATAAAAATGCATTTTAAAAAGTTAATGTATGTATGTTTGTGTACACAGTTTTTAAAAAGCTATAGGGATGTGTCAAAACACTAGATAAATACAAAAAACATAAAGGTTAATATATGGCTAATTCAATCTATCATAATGCAAAACACTCTAAACTAATAATTTCATCTGATAGATTTTAAGTGCTGCTTTGCAGCCCAGCAACACTGTAACTTATTGCTATTTTCAATTAACTTGAGTCTGGCATGTACAGTAGATACTGATTATTCTTAGTCTGAGCTGATCATGGTTATCTTGTCTAGGAATTACCATCTTGATTTAGTGGGAGGGCTTGATATCTTTAGTATACCTGATAATAATGTCAGCTGGGGTAAGATTTTGTAATAGGGTCAACTTTGTTAGTAACAACACATAAAGTTAAAAGTAATCCATAAACAGAGGTGAGGGTAATGGGGCTTTGCAAGCATGAAGGAAACCAATCCACTTAGAAGGAGAAATTCCAATGCGTAAAAGATGGCAGTGAAAACCCATTTCTACTTACTGGAGTAAGGAATAAGGTTGGGGAAGCCAGAACTGTTCCCAGACTCAAAGAAACTGTTTATAGCACCATGGATCAGGTATCAAAGGTAGGGTGTAACAATGCAATGGAAAAGCCTAGAATTAAAACCTTTGAGTAAAGTTCTGTATCAGGGCTTTGATTTCTGGATACTGCAGTGGAGTAATATTATGTATTTATATGACTTCACTCATGTCTGCGCTAAAGAGACTAACCTTTCTGTGAGCCTTTTGCAAAGTGGGCCAAGGCCTAAATAAAGATTAAGTGGATGGTGTTAAGATTTACAGCCAGGTTCTCTGTCAACCTTGACAGTTGTCAAGATAATTTTAAGATGTAAGTGAAATGTCTGGACCTGTTTAGTGCCAGATGATGAGTTATGAGATTGGCAGGTACTCCTATACTGTAGTTACTAAGGAACCATAAGTAAGAGCACCAAACTCTTCACAAGTAGATCGGAAGATGATCGTGTTATCAGATCAAAACCACCAGGAAGTCTGAGAGGGCATGAGAGTAGGGGAGGGAGAGAGTGCAGACAAGAAGAACAGATGACAAAAGCAACACCGCACTGTCAAAGGGCAAGCTCCATCCTTTTGTGCTTGTATGATAATGCTGCACACACACATGAAGGGGGTAAAGTTCATACTGCAATACTGCTTTCATTATTTTCACAAAAACCTTTAACTGTACTCTCTCCCTTCCCCTCCCCCCTCTCATGTATATACTTCTATTAGACACAACTATTGAAATAGGAGTTTCTTATTGTATAAGGACATGTTTAGCTGGAGCACAGAATGTTAAAAATTTTAACCAGGAAAAATCTGATGTCAAAAAGGAATGGAACATTATAAGCTGTATGTTTTTGGAATAAGTGGACTGAAATGGACCACTTTAAATCAGAGTATATGATATACCGCTCAAGACCATATGTAGGAGAGGACCCCAAAAAAGGACCTCACACAGTATGTGCCTCACTGAGCAATTAACAAGATTGTCTCTATTAAAAATAATGGATACCAGATTAATGCCAATAATGTTCAGACAAAGGTATGCACCAACTATAGATGCAACTATGGAAGAGGTTGATTGATTCAGCTTTTATTTTGGAAAAAAAATGGATTAGTTAGGGGAAAGTATTCTGCTTTTCTTCTTTCAGGTCCAGGGATCTCATCATATTCTAATGCTGTGGAAAATGCCAGTGTCCCCCTAAAGCACTGTATGGATTCAGCAAAGGAGATTGTGCCACAGGGAAAGCATCAGGAGACCCCTGTTTACCTAGGGGCAACAGCTGGCATGCGGCTGCTGAGGTACCCTAGGAAAAGCAGCTGCACTTTTTTATGTTTTGTAGGGATGAGCTCAGAGAAAACAGGCTTTTAAAGTTTATTTGGATTGGACATGATAGGAATTTTTCATCAGTTTCCATGAGATGCTTGTATTTTGCAAGCCCGCTATTTGTTTATTACATGTGAATGTATTTCACTGTTGATTGTATAAATAAAGGGTAGTTCAGTTTAGCACATATTTCTGGATCTGGTGCAACAAAAATTTTGCGTGCATTCCTATTTCCCTGTTCTTTCAGCTTTATTGATTTTGTGGATTAGAATTCTTAGCTAACAAAAGTCAGTGAGGGTGGGAATAGAACATATCTCGCATATTTAAATTGTGATATCTAGAATTCTGCCATAAGCCACTGCTAAATTAGGGTGTGCCATTGTTTGTGGCACCTATTCCGCAGGCCACCTGCCTTCTTTCTATGCCAGTGTTGCCATAGTCAATAAAAGCCTTGGAGACAACCTTTTGGGGTGACTCCTACCTATAGCTCATATTCAGAAAACAGAGAATCGCTTGTAAGTTCTTTTTGATGTTATATTATTTTAAGAATACCATATGAAGCTAATCAGAGAAAGGCTGAAGGATTTAATGGAACAATAGACCAGATGAGTCTTTCTCCTTCTCCCATCTTCTAAAAATTCATTTTGGACACTTATTCTGTCACCATTGTCCAGAATGCCTTTTCAAGAAAAAAATAAAATATGAGAACTGTTCCTAAGGAATTCTGTATAATTTCCCCCTCTTTTTACATGCAGATTGAAAAATAAGGATGCTGCTAGGAAGGTTCTCTCTGCAGTGGAGGAAACATTGCGTATATATCCCTTCAAGTTCCAGGGCACCAGGATTCTCAGTGGTGAAGAAGAAGGTGCTTATGGCTGGATCACCCTTAATTACTTGCTGGGCAAATTCACAGAGGTAATATGACATGTCATAAAAGCAAGTGATGACCAGGAATTCTCACTTGCTTTGGTTTTCTAACAGTCCTTCTTTTCTTCAATTCTATTCAGAGCTGTAACAGATTATCAAATATTAAAATGGAATATAATCTAACTAATTCCACAGGATTATTATAGGATTGGAAGGGGATACTGACCCTAATCCCATATTACAGCATGATTGTTAAAAGGGCTCTTACTTCAGCTTCAACTGATACAGCAAATGGGTGCCTAGAATTTTCTATTTTGTTCTAGTCTACTTACCCTTACAAAGTTTTCATAATATTCCATTCGAATTTGCCTTCCTAAAATGTGAAGTCTTTATTCTAAATTCTTCATTTTGGGAAAATAGAGAAGAGGTTATGACTATGTGGCTGACTATGTGATATTGCTGAGATCTTATGTCCTGTTGTAGTCCTCCAGGTCTGGCTGTTATATCTCTCAATCTAACTCTCCAATTTGTTCTTCTTGCAGTCTATCTGGCCAAGAGTATTTGGCCATACGTTCTTCAAAAGTAGGACAACAGGAGCACTGGATCTTGGAGGAGCATCTACACAGATTACCTTTGTACCAGATCCAGATAAGATTGAATCATCCGCAGATATAGTAAATTTCCATCTCTATGGCAAGGAATACATGGTATATACACATAGCTTCTTATGTTACGGGAAGGACCAAGCTCTTCGCCTCAAGCTGTTACAAGATGTTCTTGTAAGTAATGGGTATCAATCCTTTTCTTAGATGGTGTGGGATGAAACTGATACAGCCTGCTTATGCAATAGTTTGCTTCCTTTAATACAGGTAGTCCTCGACTTAACAACTGCATTTGAGACCAGAATTTCCTAAGCAAGGTGGTTGTTAAAAGAGTTGCACCCTACTTTACAACCTTTTTGCTATCTGGAGCTGTTAAACAAATCACTGCAATGAATTTTGCTTGCCCCATTGACTTTACTTGTCAGAAGCTGGCTGAGAAGGTCACAAATAGTGATTACATGTCCCCAGGACACTGCAACCATCATAAATACATACCTGTTGCCAAATATCTGAATTTTGGTCAGGTAACTGTGTGGATGCTGCAACAGTCACAAGTGCAAGGACCAGCTGTAAGCCACTTTTTTCAATGCCACTATAACTTTGAACAGCCTCTAAATGAGTGGTTGAGGACTGCCTGTAATGCAATTACAGTTGTATTCCTTCCCACTAGACTAGAGCAGTAGTCCCCAACATTTGTAGCTTGGTGGCCAGGCCTGGGGGGGAGGGGAACTGGGTGAATGGTGGGCCAGTTCCAAATAGACCCCTGCCCAGTAGTGGGCTGTGCCCCGGTGGTTGGGGACTGCTACATTAGAAGTATCCACAGAATAGGATCCAATGAAAATACATCCTTGTCAAAAGACTCTATACTTGTGCTACATATGGGGCAGAGCCTATGTCACAATACAAATCTGCTTTTGTCATTTGCTCCCTCTTGAGCCTCTCTGCAAATATCTTACCTTCTAACTAGCTGAAGCTAGCAAGATATGGCTGTGCTTTAAGTACTTTACCCTTTTCTTCTGTCAAATTATGAAATAGAACATACCAGTGCATATTGTGTTATATACAATAATTGGGATTGTAAGAGAAAAGGATGAGTCAGACAATATTCCTGCAGAACACTAGTTATTTTGTGAACTGGAAAAAAAAACTGGACAGCAATTTCTGCTGCTAATTATTCTCGTACCTTTTTAGTAACACCATAACCATATTATACCATTAAGCAGCTTTTCCTTGTCTGATGCTATCTAGCTCTGTTGATCTACAATTTCCATCATCCCAGTCAATGTATTACATATGGAGTGTCTATAAGGATTGGAATACATCCTACAGAATCAAGATTCAGAGGACTCGACCAAAATGAATTGAACATATCTTATGCCCCTGTTTACTTTTATTACTTGTCTCAGCTCAATAGTAATTTGAATTTAAAGAAAAAGGCATAGAAGAATTTTGACTTTGAGATACTTATTCTTATATTAACAGTTTATGCCTTCATCTCAGTCTAATATTACATTAAATCTTGAGGGTCAATTTCTTCATTGTTAACGCAATCCACTTAGATTCATCTAAAACATGAGCTGGGTAGCAAATTTGATAAGTAAATACACAAACAAACAAACATTTGTAGGAGCACTGCATAGGAGAGTATGTACATAGAGGATTGTTATATTTTTTCTTCCTAAAGTATTTCCTTCGTTTCATTATTGTGTATGTTTGTTAATTTTAAAAAAATGAATACTTATATAAAATATGTAAGGATTCAAGGGTAGATTCAAGACAGGCATTTATTTTCTGACCTAGGCCTCACTGTTCTTCTGTCAGGTCTATGACTGAAGCCATGCATAATGTTACATCTATATACTTGGGTTTATTTAATTTTGGCTTAGTATGATTTTTTTCAATCCAATCATTGTGGATTGTAAGCCATGGTGGATGGTGTAATGTGATAAGTGAATGTACTGGGACTCATGTGATTGCTGATGAATTTTTAAACTTTTTTAGTCTTCAACAACTGATAGACTCCAGGACCCATGTTTCCACCAAGGATATGCGAGGACACTTAATGTTTTTGATCTGATCACAAATCCCTGCACAGCACATAACGTCACTGTACCGTATTCTCAGATCCAAATCCAAGGTGATGGGAATTATGAAAAATGCTTAGAAAGCATCCAGAGAATTTTTAAGACTAAAGATTGTCTTTACTCCAGCTGCTCATTCAATGGCATTTTCTTGCCTGAAGTGTCTGGAGAATTTGGGGTGAGTCTTTTTAATACATTGACAGCTTGGCAACAAACTAAAAGATGTCTGTGATGCTCTTTCTTTTTAAAAAAGAATTCACCCTATTATCTTCAGTAGTAGTCTTCCACCAGGTTGGAACTGCAAAAACAGAAGCACTAAAAAAAATCAGTGTAATCAAATTACTGACGTTAATGGCAATCTGTAACAAATCAAGGGTGTAAAAAAGACCACAGGCGCATGCTGACTGCATGATGATTACATACCACTATCATAAAGGCTGATGTGGGTTCATAAATCATGGCATTTGTGTGATGGCATCATTACACAAATATTGTTATTTGCTCCTGCTTGATATTCCCCATATGCAACCATGTATTTAAACAGCTACCTGTTTATTTAAGGCAGTGTTGCTCAGTTTTGGCGACTTGAAGATATGTGGACTTCAACTCCCAGACTGGTTGGGAAATTCTGGAAGTTGAACCACACTTCTTCAAGTTGCCAAAGCTGAAAAACATTGGTTTAAGGGAAATGTTATAAAGCAAAACTTACCAACTCTTTTTTTCCGGAGACACATTGATATAAAGGCACAATTTTAAAGTAATGACTACATTTCCATAAACATTACTTTAGCAGATACTGTGCAGAACCTGGCAGTTGTAGATGTAGCGCTATAGCATTTCCACTGGCAGGAAACATCCAAAACAAATTCAGAAAGGGGGGATTCCCTCAAGAGTCTATAGACGGCATACTTGATTTCAGTTCCCCAAAATAAAGAGCTGGAAAGTTGGTAGAGCCCCTTTCTCAGCTTTTGCCCTGTTCAGCATGAGCCAGAAGAGCTTTGGAAGTGGCAGATGATCTATCACTGTGCTCTCTTTCATGAAGTAGCTGCTCCATTTTCCTATTGTTAACAAGTGATTTCTATTTGCAAATAAAGTTGTATGCGTACTTGTTGACATGAAGCAATAGAAGAAGCCCCTGAGTTATTCTTCTTACATATAGTATTGGAGTTCCCAGCCATGAATAGAAAAAGCATAGCTTAGGGGTAGAGTTACTGCCACTTTGCAGGTGGAAAGACTCACATTCATTGTCTGACATCTCTAGTAAAAAGGACAGATAGCAACGATGTGGCTCAAGTCCTGGAAACTGATGTAATTTGGAATAATTGGCTAAAATAAAGTTGGATAGTTCATGGTCCAGATCTTACTTCTTATGTACATCAGGTTCTCATCTATCATAATATGGTTTATTTATTTGGACATAACATGTTATGTCAATGTAGCAATTGTGTTTTGTTCACCCAGATACATTATGTGCAGTTTCCAACCAATCATTGAGTACAGACAATTGTGGACTAGATCGGTAATTTGAACAATATATCTGTATTTGCTCAGAAAACATTACCTTTATGCTAAATATTGCTGATAGCAGCATTTTATTTCCATTAATTTATAAAATTTGTAGGGTACCCCAATTTATTACGACTCTGAGAGGCTTACAAAAATACAACTATAAAAAAACACGAGTCTCTTTTTCTTTCCTGAGTAATTTCATATTACTTGATCTTTAGGCATTTTCTGCTTTCTACTATGTAATGAATTTTCTAAATGTGACCGAAAAACCTATGGACCAAGTGATAGAGACAGTGAAGAACTTTTGCTCCAAATCCTGGAATGAGGTATGTCATTTTTTTCAAACAAAAAGAGCATGATCTTGACTCAGACAGTGAGTGGCCTCCAATTAGTGCTAGTTGTGTGATATTAGTTCTGCTTGATTTTCCAACTCAGAAATCAAAGCAGGAAAGATAAATCCCTAAAACCCACTTACCCTACAAACGTAGAGTCCCCGTGACATGTGAAAAGGATGTTCATTTGAAAACACACAAATGGATTAATATTTATGTGGAAGACAGAATGCCTCAGTCTCTATAAAAGAGGAGAAAAAGCAAAGAAATAAACTTGTTTCCTTTTTCTCTCTCTAGGTGAAAGATGAATTTCCTAAGGTAAAAGAGAAGTACCTGAGCGAATATTGTTTCTCGAGTACATATATTATCTCCCTGCTCAGCCAGAGATACAACTTCACTAAGGAAAAATGGCAGAATATCCACTTCCTGGAGAAGGTATCTTTAACATTCAGAGGTGGAAATTAAGAAGTGGTGGTGGAGATTTATTTTAGAAGCTCACAAAAACTACGATAAAATCTAAAATTTATCAGTTGGTTAAAAATCTTTTACACTAATATATGGCAGAAACCAAAGACAAATGCAAGCCACAATACAAATATTTTCATAAATCTGCAAAAGACAACCAGAGGTAAGGCTATTCACATTTTATAGGGCAAGATTGTCTGCAGTGTTGGTGCAGCAACTGAAAAGCCTTATCCCTCACCCTGTCTCACTCAAGTGGGATACAGAGGATGCTTTCTAGTATTTTATGAAGCAGGTAGATCAATATGAACGGAAGTGCAATATCATGAGCACAAAACATTAAGAACTTTGAAGACCAGGAGTAACACTTTGAATTGATTCATACAGCATGGTTACCTTGGTTGTTGAATTTTCTGAAAATTTTCTGAATGTTCATAATCTGTTGAATCATAAGCTAACTAAAAGGGCCAGCTTTGGCCTTATGTAATTTCACAAAAAAGCAACCCACCTTAAAGCCAATCGATCTTAGCAGATCGATTCAGCTGCTAAACCTGACTCGATTAAACTTATTATGCAAGCCTAGCCACTGAATTGTTGGAGAAAGTTGCATGTGAGCCAATTTGATGTAGTGGTTAAGGCTCCAGGCTCGAAACCAGGAGACTGTGAATTCCAGTTCCATCTTAGGTATGAAAGTTGACTGGATGACATTAGGCCAGTCACTCACAACTCAACTTACCTTACAGGGTTGTTGTTCTGGGAAAAATAGGAGGAAGAAGGAGTATTAGATATGTTCATAATTTGAGTTGTTTATAAAAATAATAAAGGTGGAATATAAATAATAAATATGTTTTTAAATATAGCGTTTGCCCCACTTTTCTCGGAGTTGCTTGATATTTCATTGAGTGATTCTTGTCTCCTACATTTCAGATTGAAAAGAGTGATACAGGATGGACGCTGGGCTATATGCTAAACCTTACCAACATGATCCCTTCAGAGCAGCCCTACACACATCTCTTGTCTCACACAGGTTTTATCAGCTTCATGGTCATCTGCTCTGTTCTAGTGATGACTCTGCTCTTAGTAGGCTGGATGATATATTGTAAACCAAAGTGCCTGAGAAAGGAGATAATTTAGGGTGCAGAAGGTAGTATGACACATCAATGGAAACACTGCGGTTAAGATCAGGAGGTTGTACTTTCCTACTCCGCTCTGCTGAAATATCTAGTTTATATGAGGGCTTTCTGGACCATTTGCTCTGGCACCAACAGATGCCAAAACAACAGCATGCTACCATTTTATTCTCCCTCAGATTGAAGACTCACTTTTAATCCTACTCTAATTGAGGATTGATAAATTCTTGCACCTACTCAGGTGTGCCCCTCTCTCAGGTATGCCACTTCATACATTGCTTTGGTCCTGGAAATACAGCACAGGGACATCCAGTCAGAAATGATGGGCTGAACACTGCAAGGACTAACTTAAACGGATAGCTGCAGCTGCTCTTGGATTCGGTGTTTTCTTTCATTCTACTGGAAAAAAACACAAGCATTCAGAAATACCACCTACTGGCCCTACCCAATTACAGTTTTGAAGTACTCCTTTATCAGATTTGTGATAGTATTTGTATTATTTCACTGTAATAGCATTTGTAATAATTCATGTATGAAAGAGGATGAAAGTGAAAACCTTTGACAATAACTTATCAATTCCTGAGAGAAGAAGGGAAGAACAACCCAAAGTACTCTCTACTAAAAGCTAAAGAACAAAATGTAGCTAATGAATTTGCAGCTTGACCCAGAAAAAGGAGCAGTAAATTATTCCTGATGTGTAACAGTTGGTACCTGAGTAACAGGCCTTGCACTGATGAACTGTTTATTAAGTGTTTGGGTTCACTGTCAGCTGCCTTATGTAAGTTATATAGTTCTTGGGCACTGAGGTTTGATTTCACACTGTATATTATAAAAATCCATTGGTAATATTATTATTATCATTCAAAAACCGTATTGGGGAAGAAGGAAACAAACCCTTTGCACATGTTTGCAATACAGAAGTTCTTAAGAGCAGAATCCATGGAAGAAGAATTCCTTCTTACAAGCACCAAAAGAATGTTCCTAGGAAAAAACTAAATACGGTTTGATTTGCACTGAGATTTTATTGTAAATTAGGAATACAGGTAGTCCTTGACTTACAAAAGTTCATTTTGTGATTGTTCAAAGTTACAACAGCATTGAAAAAAGCAACTTATGACCATTTTTCACACTTACGATCATTGCAGCATCCCCATGGTCACATGATCAAAATTGGGACACTTGGCAACTGGTTCATATTTATGATGGTTGCAGTGTTCCGGGTTCATGTGATCAACTTTTGCAATTTTGCAATTTTCTGACAAGTAAAGTCAATGGGGAAGCAGATTCACTTAATAACCGTGTTACTAACTTAACTGCAATGATTCACTTAACAAACAACTGTGGCAAGAAATTTTGTAAAACTCACTTAACAAATGTCTCACTTAGCAACATAAATTTGGGGCTCAGTTGTGATCGTAAGTCGAGGACTACCTGTATGGTCAAAGCATTTCCAGTGTTCCTATAACAAATATAGCCAGCCTGTTAATCTAATCTGTCTGCTGATTAGCCAACCTAAGTTATCCTCTGGTAACATTATGGATCCAGCAACATTTGAAGAGATCTTCAATCAGCAGACAACCTTCCTGTACATCTGCACCATTTTTGCTATTTGCTTCAGGATAGCAACATTCCTGCCAATCTCAACTCTTCTGGAGAACCAGATCAATGGAATAAGTCTGTCATCCACCAATAATAACATGGCTTTAGTTAGGGAAGATTCATGCAGACAGAGCTGATACGGTAGGAAAAAAAAAAAAAAAGTAAAAGCCAGTTTGGCCTAGGGGTTAAGTCATCAGGATAGAAAGTGGGAGACCGTGAGTTCAAGTCCCACCTTAGCCATGAAAGCCAGGTGGGTGACCTTGGGCCAGTCACTCTTTCTCAGCCCAACCCACCTCATAGGATTGTTGTGGGGAAAATAGGAGAAGGAAGCTTTGAGTTATTTGTAAAAATAATAAAGGTGGATATAAACTAATTAAATAAATACATGTGGTAAAGCAGATTTTTCACCCACCAGCTTTCCAGTTTTCAGCAGATTAAGTGTATCTTGTGTTGCATATTAGATCAAACCTGAGAGTTTAAATACCTTCAGGATGATAGAATCACATGGTGGAAAATATGAGGAGATCATCACAGATCCAGAGGCTGATAGTTGATCTGGCAGACATCCGATACTGGCATTAAAGGAACTAGGAACTAGGATAAAGATAATTTTTGTGCTGTTTTGCTAATTTAAGGAATCTGCTTTTATTTAGCTCATAATTATAGAAATAGAAGAATAGAATATAGAAACATTGTTTAGTATAATGAAGAAGTGATTCACATTTATTAAGCATTGGTCCATTTGGGACGTTTCTTAAACTATAGTAGCTTATTCATTCTTAGCTATAAACCATATTTTATAAACTACAGTGTCTGAGTTGACACATTGTACTAAGTCATAACATGGTGTGTTTTGTCTTAGTAAAATGTATAACTCTAAAATTAACATGAATTTTACTTGGCCCTTCTTTTTTAACATAGAATGTTTTTCGACAATATGGTTCTCCACCTCAGGAATTTTATTTCAAAGAAGCATACTTTTGACAAGTAATGGCATGGATTACCCTTTAAAAGAGTTTGCAAAGGAATGAAAGAGAATAGTATTTAAAATTTGATGAATAGAAGTATGCTTCAATAGAACTTGAATGAGAATGCTGAATCAGAGTATGAAACATGCTCATATCATATTCATGCCAGGTAAGTATTGGCTACATTTATGTGTCAGAATTATTGGGAATCTTGCCTCAGTGAGAATAAGCAGTACAGTATATACTATGCCACATATTCACATGCCAATTACTCAAAATAAGCATTTATTTTGCACTAATTCTTTAAAAGCTTTTTCACGAGTCACCAAATGCCTTCATGTTAGTGAACTGGTTTTCTAGATGAGTTGCATTTAAACTCACTCATCTTTGCACATTCAGAACCTTCCTTAATCAAAATATAGAATAAATGAATAAAAATAAATAACAATGTTCTACCTACTTTTGGAATTTTAATAGGGAAAAAAACCAATTGACATTCTTTCAGTATCTTTCTGCCTTACTGGCTGGACTGAGATAGTCACTAGAACAAGTGACAATGTCTTTATTTCTGCCAGTCTGATACTATTCAGATGTGCTGGACTACCATCAGCATCATCCCCAGCTAGCATGTCCAATCCTCTTGTTGAAAAGATGGTGGCACTGATGGTCCTACATTCCTGGAAGCCCCCATGGTTGGGGAAAGCTTGTCTACCTCTTCATATTGATCCTAGTTAATAGGTGTCTTTTGTGATTTAATCTGTCCAAATTACACAATGTATTAGGTCTCTTTTCCAGTTACTGGGGTTGCTGCTGAATTCATACTCTTTAAAGAGGCTGATTTGCAAGAATTCCAACTGTAGGCATGTGGTGGGAAGGGAATTAAGTGCGTGGAATGTACAATATATTATTAAACATTTATGCCTAGTAGCCTCTTTGGGCTGCAGGCTTAGAGGAAGAATAATTCAGGACAGGTGATGCTGGGATGCTGTCACATACTTCCTGAAAATAGTTTAAACCTTGTCTTTCCTGTCCAAATGAAACAAATATTCACTTTATACATGTGTACATCCCTGTATTTATATGGACTATTAAAGATGTTTTGATTAATGTCATTGGTGTTTGTCCATTATTTCCCAAATGGAGCGAGAGAACAATATGGCAAGAGAAACAATTTGTCAGGTGTGAAAGACCAGGTCCACACATGAAGGTTCAATTAAACTGATTTATTGCTGAAAGCCTAAGCAGAGAACTTTTCTCAGCGAACAGTCAGCATCTGCCTAGTTACATAAGGGTCAATGTTACTAGTTCTCTTGTGGCTATGTAGGGATTCTAGGCTCACTCCCCTTTTCACTCCACCTCCGAGTTCTGCCATCCCTTCTCCTATACAATTTGACCCAGAAAGAAATAGCAAAAATGCCCAAATGTGGGATTCTAGCAGTTTCACTGTTTACAGTTTAAAATCTCACTGATGCATTCCAGAAGCTCAAAATCAGACTGTCTTAGCAAAATTCCTGCTCATTTCCCTGAAACACAAAGCTATGGGGATTGTTCTGCTGAATTAAGGGGGGAATTAGGAGATATTAAGGTTTAGCCCTCATATGCAGTAAGGCAGTATTTAGATGATAAAACAGAATAATTCATACTGCAGGTATCAAGAATCACAGGTTTAATACTCTGGAAAAAAATCTCTTCAAGAAAAAGTCAAATGCAGCAAAGGAGATGAAGGATTTACTAACTCTTTCCCAGTAGACTCATTGTTAATAATTTGAGATAAAGGAACAATTGAAAATTCCACTAATATCTATATTTACTTTTACAGAATCCTTATGTCTCATTTTCTTGCCAGATGTAATCAAACCTTAACTGTTCCTTTATTCTGCATTTTGGTCATTATCACTGATTCAGCTATCTTCTTTTACCCCTTAGGCAGATCAGAAACTTGAGTCAAAATGCATTTTATTACTTCTGCAAACCCTGCCTTTCAGTCTGACTCAGTGCTAATCTACTATTTGCATCTCACCCTTCTCCTGAAGATGTATTGTTTGAGCTTTACCTCTTCCAGTAACCCATATCTTATATCCATATCTCATAATACCTTGTCTGCCATATTGCAGACTAAAGTGGGCCTGGTCTCCTTAATAGTAGCCTGCATAATGCCCTCTATGTTGATTGGGCTGATAAAGCTGCTATAAATGGTACAAAATAAGCCTGAAGAAGAATCAACATTTGAAGCACAATTTATTAAAAAATGTGAGGACACATCTTCTATATATGTGGTCTGATAGATGTTGAATTTGAGATGTTGCAAAATGAATGAACATGAGAATTATCCTGAATTGTTATAATGCCATTAATAAAACAAATACATTAGAAAGGCTTGAAGTTAGGCGAGACCTACATCAACTGGAAATGTGAAGCACTTTTGTGAGCATATGATGATATGTTGTTAGCTGAGAATATGAATGTTACAAAATTATATGCTGCAATAAAGAGCAGGGATCTGAAAATTAACCAAGCTAGTTATGTTTCACAGGGAAAAATAAGTTATACATAAATGGTTAAAAACTACAGCAAATAGATCAGCGAATGTACTTTGACAGTATGGTTTAATGAGGAGGAACATTTGATTAGGAGTTTAAAGGAATTTTTAGTTTTCCCTTCAATTCAGGCTGGCTATCACCTCCTTATTTCAAGATCTCCCCATAATTTATTTTATTTAGACAAATTGCACATTCTTTTCAGGTGCTAAAATTGAATGCAAACAAAAGACTGTTAGAGTGCATGCTGCATCTGGCTTAAAACGTGGCCAACTGAAAACACTCATTTGTGTCCAGTCCGATTGTCAAGATAACTATCAAGCCTTTTATGAATATTTAAGACTATCATAGCTGAACTGAGACATTTCTGTACCTCTTTGCTGCTATTAAACAATCTTCCAGATTTTTCAGTCTAGATATAATAGGTCTATTTATAATGTTATTTGAAAAAAGAACCATAGCGAAACTGGGCTTTAGATCCTGAGCAAAACTGAGCATAGGAGTAAGAGTTGAGCCAATGTAATGCCTCACTATTTGCAGTGCCCTTTGTTCCAGATAACATTTATTATGCAATGCGCCCCTGTTTATTTTAAAGCACTGATTCTTTTGTGGAAATTTATAATATAAAAATATTTTCAGTTCCTGTACATATAATTGTATATATAATTGTATTGTATAAAAGATGAGGCTTATATAGAGGTTAAGAACGATGTATTAAGCTTTTGTACCATGATAGGAACTGATAGGAAAATTCATTCTGGAATGTCATGTTTGTCCATTTTTGTTTTAATTGTATTATGAATAAAAATATTTTAAAAAAAATATTTTCAGTTCCAACGGCAGTTTTTAAGACACCTGCCAAACCCCAGATCTGCTATGGAATCAGAGAATAGGCTTCTGACTACACCTAACTTCTGAATATCAGGGGATCATAGAAAGGAGGAAGCATGTTGTACATGTTCAGAGATGCTTGCTTTGTTACAGTTGTGTGTGCAAGGGCTATGCCATGTGGCTGAAAATGTGCTTCTTGAAATCTAATGAGTCCAGG